TGCTTCATGGATGCGCTCACAACCCAACTGGAATTGACCCAACCCCAGAACAGTGGGTAAAAATTGCTGATGTCATTCAGGAAAAGAACCACATCCCATTTTTTGATGTTGCATACCAGGTATCCCAATCCTACAATTCTGAATATCGTGTTTCCGAGAGAAGTAAGCGAAACCATATTCTGTAATGCTACATGTACCTATTTTCCAGGGCTTTGCTAGTGGAAGCCTTGATGAAGATGCAGCATCTGTGAGATTGTTTGCTGAGCGTGGAATGGAGTTTTTTGTTGCTCAGTCATATAGTAAAAATTTAGGTCTTTATGCAGAAAGAATTGGGGCAATCAATGTTGTGTGCTCATCAGCTGATGCTGCTACAAGGTAAAACTTACTCTGAATTTTCTTATCGTGAGCCTATTGCAAGTGATCCTGGAATCTCAGTTTCTATCTTTACCGTCAAGAACCATATCTAGCTACAGGGTTTATGGAACCTTTACCGGTAACACCACTTTCTTTCAGGGTCAAGAGCCAATTGAAAAGGATTGCTCGGCCTATGTACTCGAACCCACCAGTTCATGGGGCGAGAATTGTGGCAAATGTCGTGGGTGATGCAACAATGTTCAGTGAATGGAAAGCAGAGATGGAAATGATGGCAGGAAGAATAAAGACGGTGAGACAAGAGTTGTATGATAGCCTTGTTTCAAAAGACAAGAGCGGGAAGGACTGGTCCTTCATTCTGAAGCAAATTGGCATGTTCTCTTTCACCGGGCTAAACAAAGCTCAGGTATGCCCAAAATGTGAATACTACTCATATTTGGCTTTGTTTTAGACTTGGGGTTTGAAGTTTGTGTTTGTTTTTCTTTTGGTAACGAGCAGAGCGATAACATGACGAACAAATGGCATGTGTACATGACTAAAGACGGGAGGATATCATTGGCCGGATTGTCTCTGGCGAAATGCGAGTACCTTGCTGATGCGATCATCGACTCATACCACAACGTAAGCTGAGCTTCCATCTCAGTAGATGACAATAAGAAACAAAGTTTTATATACCCTTTTAGCTTCTTCTTGATCTTTGATTGAAACCAGATGGCTAAATTAATAAGCTAGCTCACACTATGATTGCTAGACAATTTTCAAGGAATCTTTTGATTTTGATCGTTCTTGACAGGCCTTGTTGTATTGGGAGACTCCCATCGAGTTATAGAAGAAATTTACGATTGTATTTTATATAATTTCACAATGAGAATTGCTCGAGTGACGACAGAAATTATCAGATTGTGTACGGTGTTGTCATCCTTCTAATATCATAATACAATTCCACATTTATGCTATAAGAAGCAGAGACTAATAACTATCACATGATCAGAGCAAATCGAAATAAAAACTGGTATAATTAATAACAAGATATTCTTCTAAAGCTTCTACGCAAGTAAGGGGCACCATGGAACATCAAGGAACACACTTATCAGATACAAGCCCATAACTGAGATGATTAAACTCTATCCAGGTTCTAAGTTGTGACATGGATACTTCGATAGTCAACATTGAGAAACAACTCTTAATACGAATGAAAGTTGGTAACATCAATCATAATAGAGTAAAAGTCTTACAGGAATATGAAAATGTCATAACTTAAAACAAAAAAAAAAAAGACTTGAGGAAATGCTAAACCAAACAGATAAAGAAGGCTTATCACTTAGAATCCGAGCTTGGTTCTACGCCAGTGCCTGCGCTTGGCATTGTACCTGAAATAACCAAACAAGGAAATCATTTTCAGAACTCACTATCTCTGCACTAAATCGATCCACTAAGACAACTACATATTTCTTCAATTTGATAGATCGGGACTAGACAAATGGAATAGCAAAAAACAAATTAGACGAACCTGATGGTGTTGTCGGTACGAAGACGAATCCAGTGGGGAATAGGCCTGTTCTGTCTCATCTTCTTCGCCAGCTTCTTCTTGATCATAAACGACTTGTGCGACGGCTGTTAAATTTTCATTTTTCCAAACAGAAATCAAAATCACTAACAATCAAACTCTTTAATCAATTCAAACAGGCGAAACCAACGAACGATTGAAACAAAGATGAAACTTTGCGAGAGAGAGAGAGACTTACCATTTTGAAGTCGTGAGATTCGCAGCTGCTCAGCGAGGCAAAAAATACAAAGAAGAGGCGACCAACCTTTTTAAGAAGCTAAACGATGAAACCCTAGTCCAGTCTTCTTCATTGGGCTTTTTATGTGATAACATAATTTTCAAGGCTTCATGATTCGGCCTAAGGCCCAAATTCAATTTTTATAGGTCACGTTCCCAAGTTCGACAGTCTTACGGTCAATATTTCTTACAACGAAATTTTACTGTTGTAAAATTTTGGTAGACCAAATGTTGCAGTGGCTCTTAATGATTTACAAGTGTTGGTACTTGCTGCTCGTAGAGACGTGGTTGATCCTAGACTTAGAGCAAGCTTTATTGCTCACATGTCCGTGACGATGACACATATTTTCCATCATGTCTAAGAAACAAATAGATGTTCTTTTCTAATTACTTTGCCAGATTACAAAACATTATTTTGTCATGATCATGTCTGAAATCAATCAATGTGAGTTATTCTCTTCGTTCTTTGAGATAATTGTGATGATATTACTGATTATGATATCTGTAGCCTCTATAAAACACACACTACTACTTGCATTCGTGCAAGCTGACAAGGAATTCGTGTCTTTATAAAAGCATTTGACAGTTTAAGAGAGTGGCAGGCAACATTAACATCTCCTGAGCGTGTCGGCACATATCTCTGGCTTCAGCACTTACATCAGCTGACCAATCCTAGTTTCAAACATCATTTTTAGTCTCTTAAGATACTTAAGATATAGTTTCTATGTAAGTTGTTGTCTGCTTATTTTGCCTGCACCTGTTGGTAGTGTCACTTCTTCACCGCCTGTTGCTTTTAAGCAGTGCCATGTCATGGAAAATTGTGAAACCAAAGATAATTTTGACACATTAAGATACTACAATTATATATATTCATAAGACAAATGTTTAGTTTTTATTGACCAAGTGATGTCCCAATAGGACTTACAGAGCCAAGATAGAGCATACAGCCTGTATGAAAGTGAGAAGGAGAAGAAGTAAAGCTGCAAAAACAGAAGCAACTGACCAAGGATTGTGGAAGTAGTCACGTCTCAGAATTGCCTTCCACCTGTTCCATGGTGTGTTGCAGTAAGCTTGAAGGTTCTCAGAGAGTGTCGAAAAGTAGAATCTTCTGTCATAGATAACCTCTTTGCTGATGCTATTGAACAACTTTGAAACATCTACTGAGTTCCCCAGATGGTTCACGATGATCCCACTGCGGATGAGCAAGTCAGCATCTGTAGGGGATTTAATGAAGCAACCGAGCAGCGTGGTGTAGTGGAGGAAGTTCTTATTTGAGCAATGACATTGTTCATACACAATGATGTTTCTGTAGAGGGACTCCGTGAGATCATCGACGACAATGGTTGGAATCTTCAGTACTCCATCAGCAAAACTAATGTCAAGTAAACAACTACTGGTCTCTGCTGACTTGAACCTAACTCCAGCAGTGTGAAGCTCTGTTGCTTCAGGTGCATTGTCCACTTTCAGTGTAGTGTATTCCAATCTAATTGGAAGCTGTGGCAGATAACAAGACCTCAGAAGATCAACAAAATGTTCTGGCTCTGAAATAAACTTCTCATCATCAATGCGGCTCAAGAAATAACTGAAGTGGCGTTGCGCGAGCTGTATGATTGAAGGTGTTCCTTGTTGGTAGTATATAAACAAGAGAAGAAATATCTCCTTTACAACGAAAAAGGGTAACTGATTTTCGATCAAAATCATGTCACGGCACACGTCAGTAATCATCATTGAATTCCCGAAAATGCGATCTTTCTCACCTCTAAGCCGAGGATAATGAGACCTCAAAAGAAGTTCAACCAGGAAGCTACCATCTACAACTAACATCTCAACAAACTCATCGCTATTAAGTTTCACATCATCTGCGTAACAGCTGCGAGCATTTTGCTCCCAAGTCCTAGCAACTCTAACAAGGTCCTCTAGACTAGAGTTTGTTCTAGGGATAAAACTCTGCAAATACCTGTATTTATGATCTTCCATAGCTTGAAGCTCTTCTTTACCACGATGTAGGGGGCCAAAAGACACAAGCCGAGGCGTATATGCATCAGGATTGAGTCTGCGGAGCTTATTAGGTACCTTGTATATACAGCATTTGGTTGAAAGAGAAGACAAAAAGACTAACTTTGCTTTGATGGAATCTACAAGGGCGTCACCTTCATTCTGATTCATCCTCTCATATGCAAAGCAAAGCACGTCTAGAGAGAAAGAAGAAAAAGATTCTCCGGAGGTAAACGCGCACATAGAGGTAACCTTTTAGAAAGTCAACGTTTCACACACATTTTTTTGGACTTTGGAAGGAAGAAACAAAGAAACACGCTTGAAGAGATCTCAACCCCAAAAATATCAAACATGGGTCCAAGAAGTACTGCTAAGCTTTGTATACTTGATCGAAATAGGAGTTTTAAATAAGTCAAAAGACAGCTTTCAATAGATGATTTGGTGAGGTTTGACAAACTAACATTTTTAGTTTTTTTTTTCATTAGGTTGGTTATGTAAATAAGCTGATGTCGCTGTGTTTTCCATTTAATCCAACCGTTCTATCAAAATTGTGAACCAGTAGAGTCAAAAATTCATCTTGGTCAACCACACCAAGGAAAAACAAAAGAGCATAATACATTGAAGACACAGGCCCAAAATTCACTCCAATTGCCTAAAATCGCCAGCTTCTGCAGATGAAGTGCAATGCAGAGAGATTTCTTCCGCCGGTGGGATTTTACTTACTCACGAAAGAGACCTATACGACATTGCACTTCACTGCAGAAGCTGGCATTTAGGTATCTCATAGATGATCAAGAATGAAAACAAGATTTTGCATAAGCTATCAGTCACTACTTCTATCAAAAAAATTAAGCCCTCAGATTTGAAATATTCATCAATAAGATATCAGACACTACTTATAACCATAAATATTTTATCAGTCATCACAGGGCACATAGAGTGTTAAGTAAAACAAAGATAACATATAAGAGAATTGAAGTTATAAAAACCTTAGCTGAATGAATCCCTCAGAATTGATTAGTAATCAAGGTATAATCAGTCACTACTTTTAACATTTTTTTTCTTCATATCATTCATCATTGGGATGCAGCTAAGACTGTGTGCATTAATATGCTTCAAATCAAGCAAAAACAAAAACTCACCAAATTAACCAATGTCAAACAACGGATCGTTAGAAGAAAACAAAGAGCAAATTAAATCTCTCAGAGCTGAAATTTCATCAAAAGATATCAGTCACTACTTTTAACATTTTTTCATAATCAGTCATCATTGGGATTTCCGTAACGCTCCAAATCGAAAACAAGAACCTTTAAACCTAATTCTAAGAAATAACCAAAATCTGAGCCTAAGGACTAACAAAAGCATCCACTTAAGTCGTATTGAATCAAAACGGCAGAGGCAACAGTTTCAATTACATAAAACCAGAACGGTAATGAAATAAAAATCAACACTTTCGAGTTTATGAAGGCAAAAGAGATTGGAATCTTAAAACAAAAAGAGAGGAATAGAAGCGATCTTATGTATGTGAGCTTAATCACAGAGAAACGGTGAATTAGGATTCTAGGAGGACTTAGTTGTAGCTGCGGCAGAGTATACTTTGATAGATATTTATAGTGAGTGGTTTTGAATAGGTCAAAACTAGGGTTAATGCCATTTCCAGGTTCTGTAATAAAAATAAAATAAATATTTTTTTTTTTTTTTTTTAAACAAAATCTTTCTTGTGGAAATTTGGGCTAGAGCTAGATCGAGGAAACTGGCTTACGAATCAATTAGAAGTTTAGAGCACTTACTGTTTCCAAAATATTGAGCTATTTTACTTCGATTTGCTGATATTCAAACAATTAATTGGTACAATTTTCAAAACTTTACATCAAAACATAACAAACAAAATACAAATGTTGAATTCACTCTATTTAGTATTTACAGATATTCATGATTTGTCCTATACGTAAAATAAAACCAAAAGGATTAAAAATGGAGGATATTAATATAACTTGAGAACAAAGCACAAGCACCACCCTCGCATTCATAAACATGTATAATTAGCAGCTGTTCAAACAATGAAAATTAATCACGTCTTGACGCTTACGCTTGGAGGCTTCTGATCTTGAGCTCCAGATGCAACACAAGGAACTCGAGGTCTCATTGGACAAGATGGAGAAAAAGAAAGAGGAGGATTACCCGTTGATTTTGATCTGTTATGTGTAGGATTATTATCTAATCTTGAATTTGAAGAAGACGAAGATAAAGGACCTGATCGGCTTCTCGCTTTCTTCTTCTTTCTCTTCTTCTTACTTTCTCCTTCCAAGAGCTTCCCGTCTTTTCCTACCCGCTTCACTTTAGCCTCGTTCAAGCAAGCCGGCAACACACAGTTGCAGAGGAAACCTTAAGGTTCATAAGAAACCAATGTACATTACTTATTTGATCCCCTGAAACATTCTGATTCATTATATTGATGAGCAAGTTTGGAATACCTAAGCGAGCAAGACGGTTGACCCAACTAGGGATTGATTTCTGAGTTAGTTTCAAACAAACATGGTTGCAGAAATGGTTGCAGTTCCTTGTGATGAGATGGTATTTGTTTCCCTGATACTCTTCTGATAATTTCTCCATAAAGGTTCTAACTTCTTTAGCCCTCATCTCTGTTTCACCCACAAGAATCGATTTCCTGAATGTGAAACCAGGACACTGCTTTGGCTCAACTTCAAAGATTCCCGAGCTCGAATGCTCGTGTGCCCCGTATCCATATTCAACCCCATGAACTACAATCAATGAATAGCCAAAACCAAGAAACAACATTCAATATCGGATTTTTCAATTAACAACAACTTATAGCGTGATTGATTCATTGTTCAAACAAACCAAACAACGCCCACAAAACTCCACACTAAGTTCTTATCATCAAAACACATTTAGTCTCTAAGTCGATTCGAGGAGGACCAAAAGTCAATTCTACTCTTAACAATAAATAATTTTCATCCATCAAGCAAACTTTGCAATCAAACCAAACCAAGCAAACAATACAGAGAAGGGATTAATCATCTTTTCTCTGCTACATTCCCCAAAATTGACCAAAGCATTGACCTTTATTCCCTATTATTATCTCATGTTTCTCGGCAACCCAAGAACAATCAAACCCAGAATCGAGAAAAAAACAAAGATGATAGAAAACGATTTACCTTCAAGACCAGAGTGATAGATCCCAATTCCGAGCCAGTAACCATAAACATTCATTGGGGTAAGATCGTAAACATTCAGATAAACCGGAACCGAACCAGATTTCTTCTTCCGCCTCACCGAGACGTTTCGACAAAACATCTCTCTTTTCACGGCTCAATGCATCGCACAAAAAAAAAAATAGATCAAGAGGTCTCGAGCAACGGAGAATCGGATGCTCGACGTGAAATTAGAATGGTTTGATTGGGAAATTGTGAAGAGCGAATTTTCAAGGGTTCGTCTTCGTCTTCGTCAGTTTCTTCTTCCCCTATCTCGGGGTTTCCTGGGAAATTGGATGCCTAAAATAATTATTTTCTTCCGTTTCTGTTTTTTTTTTTTTTTTTTTCTCTTTTTCCCAAAATATTCCGCTTCTGTTAATTTACATTTTTATTTGTTTATAATTAAATATGCAGTAAGATTAATAACAATCTGATTAATGAAATAAAGACAAGATGATTCTTTATAACTGCATACATTTATTTTAAAGCGGAAAACAACAAACATAGGTTTTATTAAATAAAATAATAAAAAAAACAAATCAAAGTGCACCTTGGATAATCATATTGAAGTCATATGTGTCTGGAACAGTGATCACACAAAAAGCTCTTCCTTAAGACGTGGACTGATCAGAACCTCAAGAGGCGTGCCTTTAGGAATGGTTAAGCCAGGGCTCTCACTCATATCAACAGGCATATCCATAACAGTTTTCACTTCGAATGATTGAAGGAAACGAGCAAGACCTAAATGAAGCACTTGCATGGCCAATGAAGCGCCTGGGCATGATCTTCTTCCCGAACCAAATGGCATCAGCTCAAAGTTTTGTCCTCTAACATCAAACTCTTTTGCTTCTCCTGTGATAAACCTCTCTGGTCGAAATTCTTCTGGCTCCATATAAACTTTCGGATCTCTTTGGATTTTCCATACATTCACTAACATTCTTGTGCCGCAAGGAACGTTGTAACCAGCGACCGTGCAATCTTCCATCGCCTCTCGATGGCCTAACAGAGGACCAGCTGGATACAATCTCAATGTTTCTTTGATAATCGCTTGAAGATACACCAGATTTTCTATGTCTGAATCCTCGACGTTCCTGTCTCTGCCGACGTGGATGTCTATCTCTTCTTGTGCTTTCTTTAACATTTCTTTATTGTTTAGAAGAAGAGAAATGGCCCATGTAAGGGTTGCTGGTGAAGTCTCAGTTCCTCCAAGAATCAGTGCCTGATTATTCAATTTATTATCATTATATGACATACATTAAAATAGACAAATATCATCTAATCATGAACATTGGCCATATCACATTTTAGGTTGCAAGTGATTTCTTAAAAATTTAATATGTTCCAATTACGTCTTTCCACCTAACATATCTTGTTTATATAACCAACTTTATATTTTAGAAAACAATAATTTTTGGGTTCAAATCCTAGTTAATTTGGTTAGGAATTATATCTTAGTTCATCTAAAAAACATCAAGATTTGTGTAGATAAATATGTACCAGGCAGGTAGATTTGATGCTAGTATTTGCATCATATTGAAGATGCGAGAGTTTGCCTTGTTCCGCAAGCGACAACATAACGTCGATGAAGTCTGAATCATTATGTTTCGTTCCTGAAACTTTGCGTTGTTGTCGATGGTTTTCAATCCATCTTTCAAGGATCACATCTAACTCTCTTCCTGTTTGCTTCATCTCCTTCTCATGTCCTTGCAAATCAAGCCACCCTAGTTTCGGAAAAGCATCGGACACGGTGAATATACCGACGAGGTGAAAGAATTTTGCGACGCCCTTTCTGCATTGCCTTGCCTCTTCGGTATCTTCCGGGGATAAAGAGCCACCGCCTCCAAAGTATCGCTTTCCGGCCACCATTCTCACCATCATGTTCAGAGAGATGTCCTCTAACCAGCTCTGTAGATCAACCATTACTGGTTCTGAACCACCTTTCTTGACCCACAAGGAATACAAATCTTTCATACCTGCATGAGACAATATCTCATCGTATCACAATTAAGAATATCGATAATTATTGTTATATATACGTTCAGACATGTTTTTTTTTTAATTACCCATTGCGATCTCAGAAACACGAACGTGCTTGAGCATCTGAAGCCGCCGGTTAGAAAGTAGCTCGATGGTTGCGATTTTACGCATCTCGCGCCAGAAAGCGCCATAAGGCGCAAACCCGAAAACAGCAAAATTGTAACCCATGTGCTTTGCGGCTGCAGACAGAGGACGTGAAGCCAAGGCTTTGTCGTTCACAGTAAAACATTCTTTAGCCACCTCAAAACTGCTCACAACAAATGTTTCACTGCTCCCGAGTCGTAGCGACATGGCTGGACCATAGTTGTCAGCCATTTTTCCCAAGGTTCGGTAAAGAAGCTGTTCCTTGCCACTGATAAGGTGAAGATGACCGATGATGGGCCATGCACCACTTGGGGAAGGAGCTTTCACATGTTTTGGTTTCTTTGATTTCTTAAAAAGAGCGATAAAAACTAAAACAAGGATTGGAACAAATAAAGAAAAGAGGGATGTATCCATAATGTTTTGAAAGTGCAAAAGAGATATGTGTGTTTGGTGATTTCTTGTTTTGAATGATTCAATAGTATTGTATGTCTCTTTATATATACACGTACACATACGATCGGTTCAACACCATGTAAGCAAGTCGTCAAAAGGCGCGGGTGACAAATTGGATTTGTCAAAAAAAAAAAATCGAAAATTACTGACGAGTATAAGTAGTCGGAACATTTTTAAAAATAAAATGGCCGAACTTTTTTGAACATTTCTGAATGATTTTCGACCAATTATCTTGACCAATTCTTGACCAACTTAATCTACTTGGGTTTAGAAATATTATAATTTTATATTCAAAATA